CGCGGGGGGAGCTGTCTTGCGCTTGTGTAGGGGCCGCGGGGGGGGGGGGGGGGGGGTGGGGGGGGGGTTGGGGGTGGGGGGGGGTGGGGGGTGTGGATGTGGGTGGGGATTATGAGTTGATTAGGCCCAAACAAACCCACACCTACACCCATCCCACCCACACCCATCCACACCCATATCCTGTACATGAACGAATATGATCGTCATACGAAGCCATGCAACACGCTCACATACGCATGCTGGTAATAGGAAACGTCTCCAAATGTGGCTTACCGATGGAATTGATATTATGTCCATAAGTAGGCTCGAACGTGACTAATAAAAACCTGTGAAAGCACATTCTCATACGCTGCCCTTTCTCTGTTACTACTATTTTACTACATATTTCATCTTTGCAAAGTTTTTTTGAGAAATAATGAAATTTTAATCCGAAATTTCGTCTTTAGGTAGATCTCGGAGACATATAAATTCGAAAATTTCAGCCCAGACGAATGTGTTATTCTTAGTGTATCAAATGTTTAAAAAAACTGGAATTTCTTATCTTTCCTTGAGACACATGATTGTTTGCAGATATTCAATATCTCAATAAGAACGCATCTGTTTAGGCTGAAATCTTCAAGATATTCTAAGATCCACGGAGTCTGCCTATGGGTAAAATTTCGTAATTGCGTTTTTTTTCACAAAATACCTTGTCAAAGATGAAAAATTTAGTAAAACTGCAATAACTTGGAAAGGACAGCGCATGGAGATAAACTCTGATAGACTTCTACTAGTCTCGTCTGGGGATACTCATGAGCAAAATATCGATTTAATTAATAAGTCGTATTTGCGGACATTTTATCAACAGTTGATCATATTCTGATGATCCTAAAGGTATAATAAGCAATTGTAACGCACTTGTACAATATTTTCAAACGTTAGTTTTTGTACATTCAACAATAGAAGTCGCACGACTTTCAAGACTTTTTTCTGCATAAAAAAGGCTGAGTTTGGCATGATAATTGTTAACTGTTCTCAGAGTTTCAAATATCAACTAGAATATATTGACGAAGAAAATCTGAAATTTATAAAAAAAAATTTTAAATAAATTCAATTGTTCTATGTCTGAAAAAATTGACTGTTTAAGTTGTTTGCAATGAAAATAATAAATAATCAATAGACTTCAGCAAGCAAACTACAAATGATAAAGAAACATATATTATCTAATAAAACTGTCAGTAATTTAGCAATACACAAGTATATTCTATCCATTTTTACGAGACACTAGAAATGAAATTATTTAGAAGAATATTCAATACTACGAATGTATGTCTACAACGAAGGTGAGTATCAGAGGTCTGATCTATCTCCCTGTCTTAACCTGCATATTTTTATCAAATGAAAATATTAAGATAATAAATGACTAGACGCAGAAGCTATATATACCGAAATGATAGACAGAAACGGAAACATTAACACTTAGAAAAAAAATCTCTGTTTCTAATTTATAGCGTTTTTAATGAATTCATTAAACTAGTTTCACAGGAAACTTCAAGTCATTTCAAATGATGACAATATAAATATACATCAAAGAATACTAAGATTTAGTCAGCGAGTCATGTGAGATAATAATTAGCAATCAGAACATGCGAACTGTAAAATCTAGTGAAAAGGATAAAAAACAATATAAATAAACGTACAACAAATACGGTCATAGTCTTTTATTATGGAGTTACAATTTTTACAAGCTATATACCTTTTCAGGCTACCTGAGGATATAAAATTTTGAAAATTTTTCTAACAAAAAAGTTTCGACCTGATTTTTACTATGGATAGTCTGAAATTTTCTCAACGATTAAATGAGTATTCTCAGAGAAATACTGATTTTTCCTATCGAGTACATTTTTAATAAATCTTACCTGCACTTTCAAATATAAAATTCATTATAATAAGAAAAGTGTCACAGAGAAAAAACCTCTCTTATGCGTACACCATCAAAATCTGCCAAAAGTACTAATTAATGGGAGGTGTTCAGTTTCTTTTCCCCAATGTTTCTGTTGTTTAATATTGTTTTTTAAATAGCTGTGATTAGTCAATCCCATTTTTATAAGTGTCCTATGTAGAGCCCATGATTCTTCATTATAACCAATACACATAATATATTTTTTTTCTTGTTCCACACGTGAACGATATAACATATGCTGCTCACATTACAGAGGCTGCTATTGTTCATGGGACTAGAAAATAAGCGCCTACTGTTCAGAATATGGGAGTACTCATTTTTGAGACACTTATTTCTAGTCAAATTCGCTTGGACGAACTATACGCTGTTCAGGATAAGGGGATACTCGCATAGAGAGATTTTAATGTAGTAGAAAAATGCGTCATCAAATAGTGCGTATAGTGAATGTAATGTAACGTTCGCTGTGGCTTTATTTCCAAAAGAAAAGAGAAATGAGTTTTCATATATCTTCGAAAGACTGTTAGCTCAATCCGTGAGGGATAAAATATGACATGAAAACTTTTATTCTATCTAGTTTTAGACGCATTTCTTCAATCTTTTTACTTAATCCTCTGAACATGTAACAAGGAAGTAATTTATATATTGTAACGACACCTTGTTTATATGCGGCCTGTGACACGAGGGGGGGGGGTGCTAACATGTCTATGAGTGAGGAAGGGACCAAATTCCTACCTTTATACTTCAACATTCATTTTAGATCGCGTTTCACAAAAGACGTTAAACATGAAATGTTTGTCTTTTTACAACTAACGAGAGAATCTTACCAGATGCTAAATCGTTTTTTTTTTTAGCTAGACGATGTTCATTTGATGAGTATTAGTGCATAATAGAAACACCTAGAACGGTTGGATTTTCCAGGTCTTCGTTCTTGAGCTATCTAAGTCTTACAGGGTTTTTCGCCTGCCTCAGATTGCATGAAAAATCGACTTCCAACTTTGCATGAACAAAGTTTTCCATGAGATCAATTCATTTAACAAGATGTAACTTTTCTAGTATCTTCTGTTCTCTGAGATCTTGAATATTCAAAATTTTCTAATGTGTAAAAACAAATTTTGTTCATAAATTTACATATTCCGAAAGGAAACTAGAAAAACTAAGTTTCATAATTAACTAATCATATTGAGAGCTTTCTTCACGCAAAGATTGAAGTCGATTGTTCATGTGTGACCTAAGGAGGATGAAAAATTCAGTAAAATTTCGATATATTAAGAACAAATGCCTGAAAAACGAAACCATTTTAGACTCTTCTATTACATATTAAATATAAATACATCATTCTACGTTATATACTATTCAATAGGGATATTTAAGATTTTCTCAACTAATTCCCACATTGAACAAATTCTTGTGTGATATATATATGGTTTATTTTGTCAAACTTCATTGACGTCGAGCATTCATTTGCACATATTAAAAACACATTTGTTTGTTATTTTTTTTTCTTTTTTGAGATGATAAATATGTTGAAAAGATTTCGAATGATTTGTCCAATTTAATAGAAGAACAAACTGTAATAGTCATTTCTTTCATAGACAACTAGATTAACATCATAGTTTCAATCACGAATGGACAATATATAGACAAGCCAAAAGAAACTGAGACAAAATTTAATTTTACAAAACATAGAAGAAGAAAAAGCAAAAAAAAAATAGTATGTCCGAAAGAGAGAAAATAATCAAAATTAAACAACTTTGTAACGACCACGATTGACAAGTTGTAACGCTGGATTTTGCTATAAAGAGAAAAAATAAAATTATTTTTTTTTTATCAAAGAAAAATGCTATATATCAAATTTACCATTTTCATCATTTCTTCTTTAATTAATCGAGCAACTTCAGCTTTAGCTAATTGAAGACCACGTTCAGTTAAGGATTCGATTTGTAAATAAAGTTTTCTATCACCCGGTGCAACTTCTTTATTATTTGGATAATATTGACCACGTACAGACATACCAACATCAGCATAATCACAAATATGTGCTAATGTTTCCTATATTAAAAAAAAATGTATTAATAATACTGAATGAAATTCAATTTCGATTATAATTATACTTACTTTGCTTGTTACTTTCCATCGTGCATTTTGTGGAAAATCATTTATTTCTAATTCTTCTTCAAATATTTTGAATGCATCTTCTGTAACTTGTATTTCTTCTTCGGGTTTTTGATAATTTAATTTTTGATTTAATTCACCAGCACGTTGTTGTGCTACAATACGACTCTAAAAGAACATACAAACAATATATTTTATAATAAGTTTTCAAAAAATGTCTCAAATACGTACGGATACGGCTGGATTTAATGTACCACCACGTTGAAATAATGACGTTGTTGCTTCTTGTATAGAATCTCGAGTTTCGGTTTTAGTAAATGTAAGCCTAAAGAAAGACACAAGATTCGATGTTTTTTTTTTTTATTTATTCAAACTTTACTTCAGAGACAAACATTAATCAATAGTTTCTAATGAATTCGTATGAAAACAATTAGAGATGTGCAGGGTAAACTTCTTTTTTCGAATTTCAATCTGGTTGAACCGTACTTTCATACTCTTACGAGGGAACATATCCAACTGTTTCCGAGCTTTCGGCTTCATCTTTTGGCTACAGGTAGGCCTCAGTGAGACTAAAAAAACCCTAGAAGCGTTCGTTCCCATGGCATATTAGTGAAGAGTTATGGTCGTTTTACTGGATTTTTTACTCGGGACAGGGTATTTCCAAAAACCTTAAAACAAATAATTTTGATCTGAAATTTTGCCTATAGATAGATCTATTAGTGATTAGAAAGTTTCCAAGAAAATGCACGTGCCTTTCTTGAAATATTTAATTTCCAATGAACTTGGCAATTTGGTCCTCCTGTAATAAGAGGCTGTTTGTTTTGAAAAATGAATATCTCGAGAAAGGCATGTTC